GGTCTTATAAACCCCAAGATGTGCCTTTATGCTGTTCCAAATTTAGAGCTATGTAGAAACTCCTATCTTTATTTTATTATATAATTTACAATTAAATTTAATTTGTAGGTTACTATTATTTTGTTAGTTATAACCCGAATTCATCGATTGTATATATATTTGGCGTTTGCGTTAGCTCTAGGATCATTTAAAATTAGGGAGATTTACATACATACCACTCTATACTACTCTATTTACATATTAAACACCTGAAACTTTAATATTACATACATACCACCTATAGTTCACTTTCATATCAAATATGAGTGGTAGAAATGAAATATATGAGTGGTAGGAAGAAAATATGAGTGATGTATTTGATATTAAAATAATATATGGTAGTATGTATGTAATATTAAAATTTTAGGTGTTAGACATGTAAATAGGAAATATAAAGTGGTATGTATGTAAATTTCCCTTAAAATTAATTATTTGAACTTGTGCACTTCCCAAAATAGTTTGTAAATGTAGTAGACTTTGAATATATATAGGGGTTATTTAATTAATAACATAACTTATGCTTCAATAGTTATAAATTCATATAAGTTAAAATTTGACTTTTAAATGGAAAGAGAACCTACATATCTAATTAACTAATTCATAAACCAATCAATATAATCAAATATGTAAGTTAAAAACTGAAGTAAAATAATATTAAAAATAAATCATCTTAAAAAATATAATTAATTAAACTAAAATACAATAATATTGAAAATAAATCCATGTAATATAGTATTTAAAACTAATTCAATTTAATCATATTTAAAATAATAAGAATAAAAACAACAAATAATAAATGATAATTATAATGTAATAGATAAAATAGTAGCAAATATTAAATAGAATTTATTAAAAATCGAAAACATTCAAAATCATAAATAAAATTAAAAATTAAATTGTGGGATGAATTTAATAAATAGTAATAATTATTATTATTAAATAATAGAGAAAAATACATGTAATTACAAATAATAATAATAATAATAATAATCTATCAAATTGATGAATAAAAAATTAATAATTAAACATAAAGAACAAGGCATTTAGCATTTTGTCAGTGAAGTTAATTTTTAGGTTGGACTATCTCGAGCTGCAGGACTACGTGTCCTAGGGAGACTTTGGTCATCTTACCTGTTTTGACAATGTCACAAATGAATCGACAAAATATAAATGTTAAATGATAAAATTTATAAATCAGCAGTCAATGAATTAAATTAAACAAAAAGCAGTAATCAACAATCAAACTTACAAATTTAAATAAATATGTAATGATTGAAATGGTTAATCAAAAGGCTCTAAACATCCAATTATTAATCAACTTCAACACTTAAAAATCCATCCTAAAATAAGCCCAATATATTAAAACATTAAAGCTTATATTCAAACTAAATATCCCTTGACTTTGAACAAATAAAGTTCAATTAGTAGAAAACTTTTAATAATAATAAGCCTAAGACATATCCGAACCATGCACCTAGCTTGTCACATACACTTAGAATTATTTGTTAGGACACCAATTCTAGCTTTAGGTTAGACCAATGTTATTTTTTGTACCTATTCTGACATGTAAATAGCTTGCATGTGAATGAGTGTTGGTTGTTATAATTTACTATGATGTATTTTTGTGATGCTTATCTTTTGATGCTCTCTTTGATTATCTTTGATGAGCATTTAGATTTACTTAGGTTATGAGCATTCTTGATATTTATTGCTAATCATATTTTTTTTACAGGTGCACATACTTATGCATGATTATTATTAAAAAGTGGGCTAAAAATTAATCATGATTTACATTTAATCAAACTTTTTACAAGTGATTACATTACTTTAGTTCACAAATATTAAAAGCATAGCATATATAAAGTTGCTCATAAATAAGCAAAATGATAATTGATGATTATATGATGGTTTATTATTGTTGTGAGGATTATGAAATGTTTCTTCATGCAGGAAGTTTATAGTCTTTTTTATTTTCAATTGTGATTTAAATATAAAGAGTTGTAAAAGTTTTTAAATTAGTTTGTTTATTCAAAAGATAAAGGAATCAGAAGTAAATAAATCTTTTTTCCTACATATATAAGAGATTTCTTTCTTTTAAAAGCCTTTCTAGAAGATTAATTTGTGTTGATTTGATTAATTGTTTACATTAGTTGCACAGTAGAAATTACATACTATTTATATGTTTTTTTTCTTGCATACGCATATGCTTGAAATTAGGCACTTAGGAATAAATTAATTTTCTACTCATAACTTAAAAATAAAATATTAAAATCTCAAGAATAAAATAACATAAAAAGATAATCATTCTAAGAAATTAAACCAAACTATTTGGAGTTGCATGCATATTTTCATAATTCTATCCTTATTTTAGACACTTCTCCGCCTTAGGGTATAGTTCAAATAATCTGATCTATGAGGATGATGTATTGAACATGAGGAAGTCTAGTATTCTAAAATTTATATTTTTAAGTATTTTTTAAAAAAATTAAATTATTCATGATTTGTGATACTTTAATTAGCATTCATTGCATTACAAACAAATTAAAAATAAAATTACATCAGTTCTAGAAGTATACTATCATTTATAATTATAGAGCCACTTAGGATTTTCTCTAGATGTCGGCCATAAGTTTCAAAAACTTAAACAACAGTTTACCTATCTTTCTTAAGACCGAACAACATGGTTTTGAGACGATTATGTGGCTTACCTGACTTTTTATTTCAGGCAAGATATAAGTCCAGATTGCATTTCTTTAGATATGTTTGGGTTACGACTTTGTAGTACCCATATTAGATTTAGATTACGAGGTAGATCAAAAATCATAAGTCCTCATCTTCTAGAAATATAATCTAACTTTTCTAATAAAATACCAAGTTAAATAATAAATTCTCTTTTTTATTAAATCCTCTTTTTAAAATGTAAAGCCTAACATATGATAAACTAGGGCTGCCACTGAGTTTATCAAAATCTAGTACATCCTAATTTTCTTCTTTGACCTACTAAGAACTATTCAATATTGAGCTTTCTCCTTGAAAATTTTTTATTTCTTTCCTTATCTTCTATGTTTTAATCAAAGGGTATAAAATCACAACTTTAATCAAGAGTCTTCTTAAGAGTACCCCTCTTAAGATGTAATTAACCGTAGGGGCTTGTCCTTTGGGAGATTGAGAACTTCAGATTAAAATAAATCATATTTCATCCTTATAAAATAGGGAAAAAAAATCTTTGGGAATGCATATATTCTTTTTCAAAACTATTTCTATTTTCAAGTACATCAGTAGAGTCATTATTATCTTCCAAGATGCTATAATATTCTAATTGATGTACCTTAAATAAATTGATACACAACATTGTCATAGATGTTGACACTCATCGTTGCTAATAATATTGACATATGCTATTGCTTATAAGGATTTAGTGCGTCATCAGTTGATGTATGTTGCCGACACAAAGCCAATTCACATTGTCATCAATAAATGTCCACTCAATTTGTTATCTACAATGCCAATGCACCACATAGATATAGAAAATCTATGCTAGTCGGCTTTGTTGCTCTCCATCGCTAATAATATCTACATATGACATCTCCTATAATGTTTGTGTATTCTGTTGATATCGACATAGACTCTTATGTTCAACATCAAGATTATACAAGATTTATGTCATTCTATTCTTAAATAAGAATGATTGAAATATCACTAACAATCTCTTAAAGACAACTTCAATCCCATAAAGCTCCTCTTACTTCAAACATATAAATTATCATCCACATTTTATATCAACTATATTGTATAAATGCTTTCCCCAATTATGAGAGTTACATGATTTATAACCTTTATAGTACACTAATATAATCATTTTAACTACACATATCTTGTGATTTTCTCCTTTATTAGATGTTCTTGTAACCTGTAAGCTTCAAAGAATTTATCTTATCTTTGTATATATAAAGGATATTTGACTAATAAAACGAGGCTTCTTTTGAAACAACTTTCTTAGAGCATCTCCAACCGAAAAATCCATTTACACTCTAAAATGCAGTAAGACATCAAAATGCCATAATTCATCTCCAATCAAACTGCATTTTTTTTCTTCTTTTTCCGTAATTCATCTCTCCTCTCTAGCATGCTTTTCTCCTCTTTCGTGCTCATCTTCGGCAACCCAACTTTTGGCGTAGGTGAACAGTCTGACGTTAATATTGACGTCGCACTGTTCACCTACCGAATTTTGGCGTGAGATTCAGCGAATGGAGGACGACATACGGTGGTATGCAGTCCATCAGCGAATGACGGACGACATACGGTGGTATGCAGACCGGTTGGAGATGATCTTACTGCTTTCTAAAATAACTGTCAAGTACAAAATTTTTTTGAGAGCTGAAAATGTATTGGCAAAAAGTTATCCCAAACGAAGCCTAATTTGATGTTGAATTTTTCCAGCACATAGAAATTCCATTTAATAAATAATTGAAAATTTATCTTCAATCGATACACTTGAAATCAAATAATAATTAAAACAAAAATACCAAATCAAATAAAAATATTTGCGAATATCAACTCATTTTAAACCCCAAAATCCCGATCCATGTCATGCCACGTGTCGCCCACTTCCTAATGAGCTCCCGGCTTCTTTTCCGCCGTCGTTTTCTCACGTTACAGATGTAACGGTGCACGTTCAACCCAAACCCGGTCCAACCGATTAAAATCTTAAATCAGACCGGAGGCACGTCATTCACCCAATTTGCCGACAGCCAAGCCCAAACACCTACAAGGGCAACATGGCTAAACGGTCCGGCCTGTATGGACCGAATAAATGAACCTCAACGCGATCGGAATCTCGCTCGACGGTTCCATCAAACGCCGTTCGTGCTACGGCAAAAAATCAAGCGAACTTCTTTTATTCGGATTAATTAAAAATATACAAGTCTTAATTAATTATTTATTTGTAAATATATTCCTCTTCCGTTCGTACCAAATTCATTCGCATTAGAGAGCGGGAACTGAGGGCAGTGAAGTTCTTGAGAGCAGAGAAGGTTGAGAAAGAGGCGATGGCGAGCGCGGAGAAGAGTGACCCAGAGGTGGTTTCTGTGGAGCTTCCAGCGCCGGATGGATGGCGTAAGAAGGTTCGATTTCTTGTTTCTCATTTTGCTTGAATCTTATCGCAGGATTCTTGGTGGAATTATGCTGTTTATTGCTTCAATTACTCTTTATGTTTCGGCGCTGTGGTTAGGGTTTCGGCAAGCCTTCTATGTTGCTGTCGGTTGGGGTGCTAGGGTTTCTTGGTTTTGCTCGCGGGCTTGTTCGTAGTTGTGGATAAGGTAGTTGCAGGTGAGGCGTAGCGCGGTTTAGGGTTTGCAGTTTGTAGTATGTTGGAGGTTTCTTTGGTATGGTTGTTGCTTTGGGCTGAATTTTGGTCATATGGGTGTAATCTATGTAGTTTGTGTTGGGTGATAACTGGTCCTGTTTGTTGTCTTTTGAGGGCTAGGTTTTGCTATCATTTTATAGAAAGATGAGATGGGAGTGGTGAATATTTATAAATGAGTTCTTCTTATCGGGTTTTATGCTATGTAGGCAACTTTTCATTTTCTTGATTATTTTTAGGCGTGGCTTTATTTGCTTTATTACAAATTTAAAATAAAAGAAGGATTCCAAATGATAATGTTCTTGATAGATACTTTGAAGCCAGTTCTTAAAGAACAAAATAAATGTTTGGATTTTTTATAATCATTAATAAGTGGAATTCATGATTTATGAAATCAAATTCATGAGTTATAATGCCAGAATCCACCTATCCAACTCTGAAAATTTTGGTGATATTGCAATGAGATTGGGTAACCGGTCCAAAGTACAACAATTTACATGTAACTTCATCAAACTGAAAAGTGCTTAGCATAGTTTAAAATAGCGCAATTAGAGGCGCGCCTCTGTGCAATTCTGTCCCAAATAGTCTCATTGCTTAAGCTTTTTTGGTTCTTCATGAGGCGTACGCCTTGTGCATGTGAGGCGCGCCTCTGAGGATGCATTGCGCAATTCAGTGTGAGGCGCACGCCTCTTATAATCGAGACTCACATACTTAAGCTCTAATTGAAATAAGCTATCTTCCTCCCCTCTCATTTTCGTCTACCCGAAACCGAACGGACAAAAAAGCCGCAAGCAAGCCGCACGACTCGCTCCGCTCGGCCTCCCTTCCCGCCGCCTCTCCTGCCAGCGCCGCCTCACTCCGATGATCTTGTAGTGTCCGGCCGCCTTCTAGGAGAACTCCACTACCGATTTTAGGTATTTTTTTTTAGTTCAACTAAAGATTTTTCAAGTGAAAGAAAATCTAGGTTTTTTATTTTTTTATTATTTTTATTTTTTGAGATTTTTTGTTTGTTTTCGCATTTGTGCATTAGGAAACATGGTTAGAGGCAAGGAAAAGGCAAATACGTCATTGCGGCGTGACCCTTCTTGGAAATATAGTGCGCAAGTTGATGTAGGTGGCGATGAGAAGACATGTGTATTTAAAATACAATTTTTGTGATAAGGTGATGAAGAGAGGAGTTACTCGCTCGAAGGAACACTTATCCGGCTCACATCAGAATGTAGCACCTTGTGCGAATGTTCCGAATAAGGTGAAGGAGGAAATTACAGCTTATATGAAAAAGAGTACCACGACCAAACATTTACAACAGGAGCAATTTGATGAAAGGGTCGAACATGGTGCTTACTTCTGGAGCGAGAGTGGAAATGACTCTTCCTCCACGATACATAATAGAGGTGCGCGGGGTCCTATGGACCAGTATATGACTAATCCATAAGAGGATAGAGATAACCTCTTGAAGCAATGTTTACATCGACACAATGACTTAATTCTGCGTGGGGGAAGAAACTTGAGGGGAAGGAAATACGAAGGCTAATTCTAAATGATAAATTTTGGGCTTGTGTTACCTATGCCATATTGAGCATGAGTTGGTACAAGTTCTATGTTTAGTGGATGCTGAGAAGAAATCAACCATGAGTTTTATATATAATACTATGGATGAGGCAAAGGAGTTGATTGCACATAACTTGGGAGGAGAGGAGACAAGTTATAAAGAGATTTGGGGCATCATTGATGCTCGGTGGGAGGTCCAGTTACATCGTCATCTACATGCAGCGGCGTATTATCTCAATCTTCAATTTCAACATTCAGAGAGGAAATCCTCAAATTCGGAGGTGAAGTTTGGCTTGTATCATTGCGTGGAATGACTAATACTTGACTAGACCGTCAGGGAGCTAGCAGATTTATAACTTGTTCTATTTCGTAATAGGGAGAGATTTTTTGGTTTGCAAGCAGCAAAATGTACTATTGCTAAATGGTCTCCAGGTATACATATTTTTGCAAAGTATATGTACATGCAGAACACTTTAATATCTTATGATTATCATTTTTCTTCTTGAAAATAGTTGAATGGTGGATCCAATTTGGTGATTCCACCCCTGAGTTATAGAGTTTTGCTGTTAGAGTTTTGGGCCTCACTTGTTCTTC